TTTTAATTATACAGACAAGGTATTTAATTTTTAAATTTAACTTTTAGATTGTTATTGAGATTCCTATTTATAACAATTAACTTAAACCAATATTTACAACTTTGTTTAAAAAATTTGATGAAACCTAATTATTATTAATCCAAACTTTAAGGATCTAACCATGATTTCCTTAGAATTTAAAAATAAATCAAAATGGGATTGCGCCTTTAAATGTTTAAATTAAATTTTTTCTAAAAAAAAATCAAACCAACGGGGTACTTATAGGCTATAGCAACATCGTCGGTGGAAGTAGATCCCCCAACCAATGAAAGTTGATGGGGATCACAAATTAACTCGCAGATTAAGAAGATAAATGAAAATAATTAAATGAACACGGAATATATAATAATATATAGTGTTTATCGAAAGGATTCATCAATAATTCCCAGCATTATTTCACCTCACGATCGATTAGTAACAATCAAAGACAGAATAGTAGTAAGATTCTTTAAATTTCGTTGTCTCATTTAACCTTTTAAATGATGTTAGAGTATTTCAAAGCTGTCAACTTTTTGACGTAACCACACTAATCCCGCAATTGGTTCCGTATAAAATGCATGGGTCATGGCTATCATGTTGGGTTGTTGATAACCCACCCTGTTTGTTCAAAAGGGTTAATTAATATTGGAATCACCTGTGTGGTAGGACCTTTAATCACCGTTCCTATATAGCAATGTTAATACCTCTCGGACCATGCAAATTTGCGTGTTTATGAATAGATGACCTGCATCATGTGCACTATTAATATTGTACAATTTGTGCGTGTTTCCAAGAAATTCGTGATCCCGCGTACTGCTAACTAATATATACAATTCGAGCTGATCTGGCAATCTGTTAAAATAAAAAAAAATATATTTTTTGTAATTTGTTCTCCGAAAGTATTTTAAATAACAAAAAATCAAATATTATTTTGAAGAATAGAAAAATAAAAAAATAATTATTATGTTGAATGACAGAAAAAATACGAAAAGCAAATATTTTTATTATTTTTCATTTTTAAAACATGTTCTATAAAACACTAATTTTTAAAAAAATAAAATAAAAATAGTTTTAAACAATTCTAAACAGTTTGGTTTCCAAGATATGCGTCACAGTGATGAAGTCTGCACGGTCATTTCTCTTAAATTTTACACCTTCCTATATCCATGTTATACAGGTTAAAAATTTTAGTTGAAACTAGTTTAAATTTGTTAGAAAATGTCAGATATAAGGCATATGGGGAAAAAATAGACAAACGTGCACCGAATTCCAATGAGGATCGTAAAAGAAGGGTCTTGTGATAACTGGAGGGGGTGTATAGGTAATTTTAGAAAACGTTAGCTACTACAGTTTTCATGCATGTGATTATGCAAGGGGGAAAATCAAAGTATACCGATCCACATGTATATGAAAAGCTTGCTAGTGCATGCAACCATGGATCGTATTATACATGTACACGTGTGTGTGTGTGCATATATGTGTGCATATATAATCTCTTGGGTTATTCATAGAATCAAGTGGTGCTTGTGAAAATAAGAGAGAAAAAAAGATGAGTATCAATAAATTATTTTGACGCGAGGCTTACCGTGAAAAAAAAAAAAAAGAAGTGGATGTGAGATCACAATAAAAAATTGGGTGGTGATCTAGTCCGGACGGACCTGTAATAGAATACAAATTTATTTCACACAAATTGTGAAAAAGTATAATAAATAAAATATTGCTTGTACATTTAATATGTGGAAGGTGATAAAATGAAGAATGAAATAAACTATTCATATTGTGAGCATGCATAAAAATAATAAATTGTAAAAAACTGATAAATTATAATTAAATTAACTTTTAAGTTTAACAATCAGGTTACATCAGGGAATACATTTGGGAATAAAATATGCTATTTGCATAACTTTTTTGTGTAGATTTTTAAGAAGGTGAAAGGAATGTGAGTCATAAAATTTCTCCTAGGCTTTGAAATATCCAAGCATGCTTTCACATGATCGTGGAGACCTCACAGCCATTAACAACACATACACACACCATGCTCATTCAAACTCACCGGTCACCGCGAGGACATATATACTGGAATCTTTAAGAACCTAGGAAACTTTGATATTGACCTTCATTTGTCGCACCCACAAAATGACACCCACGCAATTAATTTTCGGCTTTACCACATACGCAAAATCCGACAATTCAACATGCACAATATATGAATGAATAGGACCGCACTCATCACTTCAAAGGCCCATTAAGTTTTGGGCGAACTAAAGGCCCATTATAAATTAAAACCCAATTGGATGGGCCTCAGCGGTTCATGGGCGGGGATGTCCTCGGTTAACGTCAAATCATGAAATTACATTTTCTGAAGTATACTAATTTTCTTTTTAGAAAATAATATTTTTATTTAAAGAAAGTTATTGGATTATTGAATTGATCCTTTTGAATTACAAATGTTCATTTATTTCTCAATTATTTTAAGTCCTTGATGTAAAAGGACGCAAATTTGACTAAATTTTCATTATTTCTTAAAACGAAAAACAAAGATAATTAATACATCTAATCTAGTAGATGTTGAACTCACGCTAAAATAATGTAATAACGCATCTCATACATATTATAGAAACTATATTATTTCCAGGGGACTCGTGTAAATTATTAAATTTTCAACTGAAATATTAGAGGGAGAAAGAAAACTATATACTAGCCTTTTATTTTCTCGATGAAATAATTGAGAAATTAAACAAAGAAACGAAAGTAGTTATTGTTGTTGTAATTATTATATACCGTGGAAGTGTGCATGGTTGGTTTGTGTATATAAATAGGTTGTTAGATGCGGCGTCCCTTGGTGAAACAGACTCACACTTCGTTGGTGATTCAGTTTGGGTTTGAAAGTCTGAAAACGAACACACGCACTATCTGCTTCTTCTTCTTCTTCTTCAATCATGGGGAGTTTCAAGCCAGTGGCTCTGTTGCTGGGTTCGCCTTTCGCTTTATTGGCAGCGCTTTTATCCATTATCGCTGCTGTTATCTGGCTTGTTGGGTACCTACCTTCTTGATCATTCCTTCGTTTTCTTCTAGGTTTTGAATTTTAGTTTTAATCTGATTTCTTTCTCCTCCTCCTCAACCTATATGCTTCGCTATTCCGGTTTTGTTATTTCTCATTTGCATTCACCTTATAACCTTCTTCCACTCTTCCATTCTTGTTTTTCTTGACATGTATACGCCCCTCTCTCTCTATATATACATATGTATATCTATCTTGGTGAGGTTATTTTCCATTTATATTCACTTGAATCGCCTACTTCTTTTCTATTATATTTTTGAGCAAACGATTGAGTAATAAAATTAATGGTGCAGGAGAATGCTGACTAAGGTGTGTCCATGGTTCAAGAGCTGCGATCGAGTTGCAGACAGGGCTTTCGGTCTGGTGAGCCTTCCAATGGCTGTTCTAAGCTGGTTCTTTCACCACATTCCTTTCTAGCCCTTTCTTAATGGTCTTGATGATCAAATCAACGATGAGAAGAAAAATTCTTCTCCTTTTGTAATCCTGACACCTTGATTTTCCTGTTCCGTTCCTATACATAGTACGTCCTTTGACTGTTGTATGAGCCATAGTGCACAATGATTTCCAAGATATATCGTTTCCCTACACATATTCTTTCTTTAACTTCGAAATCATAGATCTTAACTTCAATTAATTTGTCAGTTACTACGTGCTTCATGAAATTAAGAGAGATCGAAAGATAGGCTGCAATACTAGCTAGAAACTGCAGTACGTTAATAAGCAATTTGAGAAATAGGGCTATTGTTATTGTTATTACGTGTATATACCTTCTCTGGTTGTATATGTTTGGGTTGTTTTGTTCACATCTCTTGTATAGGATTTGAAAACAAGTTCATTTATCAATCTATATATTCATGTGAAATAGTTTATGAATGATTGCTACATGCACTGAGTGGACAATATCTTTCAAAACAGAACCCAAATGTATGAATGTTTCTTTATATATATATATATATATATATATATATATATATTTTAAATGAACAGCGTGCGTATAAACTCAAAGGCCAATCCTGACCCGAGAGAAATTGGGGGTGGGGGGAGGAATCAAGCTCAGGCCACCAAAATTGGATTATTACAATGTCGATCCTTTTTCTTATTATTTTTTTATTGGGGGTTACGTTCTAGATCTTGTTATTGCAGGAATGAAAGATTAGATTGAATTCCTGAGATTCTATATGCACTTCAAATTTTCCAGTTAAGCATTCTTCAATCATTATAAGTGAAGTGAGGGGGGTTAAATAAACTAGATTTTTTATATTTATACTGAAAAGAAGAATGACAGGAAATTATTATTACAAGCTTATACGTAAACACAAACACTTTAGTTTTGTGCTCATCATTTTTTTCTCTAAATATTATTTATATTATCTTGATTTTGAAAATTATTAAAAAATTCACATTAAGCCATAAAAAAATTGAAATATATACTTCTAGTGATGTAAATTCCACATAATTATATTTCACCATTTTCCCTTTGTTCACTCCATGATGCACAAAATGTAGGGGGCGGGGAAATGAAAGAGTCAAAAAGGTTGCACTAGATCCAAAAAAGTTACCTTATAAGTTTTGAAATGAAATGATATTATAACATAAATATATAAGAATATTTTTGTAAATTGACAGTCTTATTTTTAAAAAATAATTTTATAAAATGTTATTGTTGTGTTTTATAATTGATATGTGTAATTTTATCTCAAATTACTTTATAATTTAAAATGGGTAGGTATTGGTTTTACATAAATTTTATATGGATAATGATGATTATATCCATTTTAGAGAAAAATAAAAGTAATTTGCCCGAAAATAAGTTAATCTTAACACAGGGTCAAAGTTGAAATTTGAAACTTAAGGTTTAGACGGCCTATAGGTGATGATTTCTAAGTTGCGATTAGAGTTGTGCCTGCGCTTCTTACGTTGTCAACTTATTTATTAGATACCGTCATCCCGAAATAGGATCTGCCAACCATTTCCCAGTTAGGAGCTCCAAATAGTTGAATACGAATCCGACTCCAAATTCAACAGCACGATTTCTGGAACCTTCTACAGAATTCTCAAACGATCAAAATTATTGCCGAATCTCATAGAGACTGGGATCTCTCTCCCCATTAAACACCCTCCTTCTCACACCATCCTCTCAGCCATTCATTCATCGATTCGCAACTTCTATCCGACCCGTGATCTGCAAAGATTGAGAAACTGAAGAAGAGAAAGAGAGCGGAGGAACAAGGTTCCAACATGGGTGTCGATTATTACAAGATCTTGCAGGTTGATAAGAATGCCAAAGACGACGACCTGAAGAAGGCTTACAGGAAGCTTGCCATGAAATGGCATCCTGATAAGAACCCCAATAACAAGAAAGAGGCTGAAGCTAAATTCAAGCAAATATCTGAAGCCTATGACGTAAGTTGATCTCCCACCTACTTCCTTTCGGCTTTATACGGGTTTCCCATATTTCGTATGTTTTCTCTAAAATTTCATCCGACTTTCGTTGTAGCTTACATGGGTGTCGCAAATTCTGTTTGTTTTCTATGAACCTATTGAACTTTAGGAGACGATGCTTACTGTCTACTGCTATTCTTGTAGGTTCTCAGTGATCCTCAAAAGAGAGCCATCTATGATCAGTATGGCGAAGAGGGTCTGAAAGGTGGGGTTCCGCCTCCCGATGCTGGAGGAGCTTCTTCCTTTTCAACGGGAGAAGGACCGACGTCGTTTCGGTTCAATCCCCGAAACGCCGACGACATTTTTGCAGAATTTTTTGGGTTTCCGAGCCCATTTGGAGGCGGTGGCGGCCATGGAGGGATGAGGTCGAGGTTCTCTAGTGGGATTTTTGGTGATGATGTGTTCGGATCATTTGGGGAGGGAAGGGGTGTCCATATGAATCCAGGCGCTCCTCGAAAAGCTGCTCCGATCGAGAACAGATTGCCCTGCAGTCTTGAAGACTTGTATCAAGGAACCACAAAGAAGATGAAGATCTCTAGAGAAATTGCTGATGCGAGTGGGTAAGCAATTGTTCTTTCCTCTGTTTTTCCTTCCTTGCTCGTCTATTTGATCTTTTCTATGTAAATCTAAGGCTTCGGTGGGTAGTTAACCAAGCGATGAACGGATGAACTGTTTTCGTGTGATATATTCGTCTCATTGTTTGAAGAATTTAAACGGTTACATCATTATAACAGCCCTGTGTTTCAAATATGCCATGCTTACCTATGACCCCCATTTAGGTCTCGGTCTTTATTCTGCATCAGGAACTTTTTCTTCTATAAACAACTTGTATTACCAGAAAATTTAACTCTGATGCTGTTCTTACATATGATATCTATAATTAGTTTCTTGGTACAAGCATTTGATCTTGGAACTCCAAGGTAATGTCTTGTTGGTCTTACCATCAAGACCAAATCTGATAGTTGGTACTTTAATTTCTATTCTTTATGGTTGGCACTCCTTAAAAATTAGTGCATTATGATTAACATTTGGTTATGCTTTTGTGAGGATTTACTAGTCTATACTGCATTGTAAACAAAGTTTCAATATTTTGGCCAGAGGCAAGCTTTCACCCTTTTGTAGTCCTTTTAAACTCTCTTTTTTGGTTCTTGCTGATCTTTAGTTTTTGGGGTATTAAATTGCATGAGCCAATGAGGGTAAAAGTAGATTCAACATATTAAAGAAATTCAAGTTGTGGGAATTGAGAGTTAGACTTGTTGAAACTGTTATTCGTAGGTCTAGTTACTAAGCTATTCTAGGGCATTTTCAACTCTTACACTGACAGCATGGCATTGTTGATTCATGTTCAAATCACACAACTGATTCATGTTCATTCCAACTTCTATATTCTCATGTTTATAATTTTATTAACAATGGGTTCACTTGGTGGTGCAGCAAAACCATGCCTGTAGAGGAGATCCTAACTATCAATATCAAACCTGGTTGGAAGAAGGGCACAAAGATAACCTTCCCAGAGAAGGGAAACGAGCAGCCAAATGTGACCCCTGCAGACCTTGTTTTTATTATCGATGAAAAGCCTCACAGTGTTTTCACTCGCGACGGAAATGATCTGGTTGTGACACAAAAGATTTCTCTTGCGGAGGCCTTGACTGGTTATACGGTGCAGCTGACTACCCTGGATGGAAGAAACCTGACCATACCAATCAACAATGTGATTCATCCAAGCTATGAGGAGGTTGTTCCAAGAGAAGGAATGCCGCTCCAAAAGGATCCCACAAAGAAGGGAAATTTGAGGATAAAGTTCAACATTAAATTCCCAACTAGGCTGACATCAGAGCAGAAGGCAGGAATCAGGAAACTCTTGGGTGCCTCACCCTGAGATCATCCAAAATTGATGAGGCTTTCATATGGAAGTTAAGCCTCCTGAAAGGTTGAGTTATTTCACTGTTTGATTTGCTTTGAGATTTCATGGACTAAGATAGCAAAAAGGTTGAAGAGAATCTCTTAGTAGATCCAAAATTAAAAAAAAAAAAAAAGAAGAAGAAAAGAATTCGATCTTGGTTATACTTGGCATGAGTTTAGGGGATGCGGAAGAAATGTAGCACACTTGACAGAATGGGATAATTTCGTTTCGTGTATCTTTAGTATAATGATACAAATTTTGATAGATTATTTTTGGTTTGTAAGATTTGTCATGAGAATGGGAAATAAGCACCTTTTGTTCCAAAATGATCAGAACATGAATTGGTTTGTTGGTGTATAAATGTATGTCTTGTTTTGATCTATTCGTCGTGCCCTGTAGGAAAATACTTTTTTGAGAGGTAAAACACTCATTGTCCCATTTGAAATCCTGTTTGGCCAAAAAGAAATTCAAACGAGCGTTGGGGGCTAAATGAGTGGTATTCCTGCAACCAGAATTTGGAGCTCTTCAATGCCCATTGGACTCCTTTTTTCTTTATCCTTGCACCACACACTTAACCTTTTGCTTTGTCTTCACTTACAGCATACACCAGTCGTTGCCGCCACCATCTTCTTGTTGACGTTGTTGATTGTGTTGTGCTTGCTGTCGCTGTTGGAAGTCCATTGAAGGGGAGTGATTTGGGCTTCATAAAAATTTAACTAATTAAACGTAATAAAGGATGAGTTAAGAGAGAGATTACCAAACACATATGAAAGCAAGAAAAAGAAGCTTGCACAGATAATTTATTTTGAGTCGGTTTTAATTACTTGAGTCTACGTTTAGTTTTTAAGTAATGTTTGAGATTTTTTTCACTATCTATCTCTGCCAAGATTAATCAAAGTTCTTGATTGTCTTAATACAATCTCGTACTTAAATCTACATCACTTTTTTCTATAATGATAAATCCTTCTTAAGCTTTTCAATTTTAGGATCCTCTATTTCAAAAATTAAAAATAAAGATAAACAAAGTAAGTTTACACATGAATTAGTTATGTCAAATGATCTCTCAAAGAATTAATTTACAATTAATGAAATTCTCTTGTAATAAATATAAACTCAAAAAGTTGGTGAAACAAAAAATATCGTGTAATAACTCAATTGTTCATTGTTGTTCACCGTCTTCACAAATGTGCATGTTCTTTGAGAATGATTTGTTAGACTTATGAATTTAGCTATTAAAGTTATTGTCTTCTCTCCTCTGAGTTTCTCCAAAATTGAGGTGTTGTTTTAGTATTTTGTAATAGAGTTTCTCTCTCATGGCAAATAAGAAAGTAGCGGCTCTTTGCATTTAATTTTCTAACAATTTAATTTTAGTTAAAGATGACGATTATCTCAAATGTATGAAAAGTTAATATTGACAAAAACTATGTTTTTTTTTAAAATCACTTAGAATAACATGAAAGATTTGCCTAAAGTTTTCATCAAATACAATTTTTTCTCCAAAAGGAAGATCATATTGGCAACTAATAGGTTGCTTAACATTAAAATATATCTTTTAAGCATCTATGAAGAACTTCAAAACAAATATATAAATTGTTGGTCCATATGATTGAAATTTAATATATTATGGCCAAACAACTTTGAATTGGAAAAAATACTTTTAGTATTTTATATTTTATTTCTTACATGTTCATGTGTTAGTGCGTGTATATAAATATTATTTTTTATTTAATTATTATGTCATTAGTATGAGCGCAGGCATAATTACTTAAGTTCAAGCAAATCATGATATGCTGGCCTTTTCGATTTATCATTTAATTTAGTTTTTACAACAATGATGTAGATTTTTTTAAAATATTTTATATAATAAATTTTTTTTATTTTTATCCTTTGCATTTCTAAATTTTTATTATTTATAAATTATTTTAATTATTTAATATAATAACTAAAATATTTTTCATTTATTTAATAATTTAAATTAATTTATATATATTTTATTTTATACTATAATACAATTTTTAAGATATTAATTTTTAATCATTTGAATATAGTCCAATGATAAATATAAGAAGTAGAGAGTAAGGGAAGTTGAGAGAATCCTTTCCCAGAAGATGTTATACTTGATTCATCCAACATACTCAAACTTTTTGATTACTCATTTGTTATTTTCATCAGAATAGATCAACGTGTAATCCTGACATTTTTTTTATTTGCACTCTACGTCCTTATTAGCATAAGGATACATGCACTCCCTCTGTTAAAAAATATAAAATATTAGCATAAGGATACATGCACTCCCTCTGTTAAAAAATATAAAATATTTTTAATCGAATCTCATTTTTTAATAAAGTAGTTATCTATTTTTAAACTAATTTTATCTTTTTATATTTACCTCTATCAAACATCCTATAATAAATATAAAATTATTATTAATAAGGATACTTTTAAAAAAAGTTAATGATTACACCTCGAAAAATTAAAAATACCTTACATTTTTAAATGGAGGAAGTAGTTCATTTTTTATTTTAAATATAATGATTGATATTATTAACTCATCATACTCAAATTATAGTATTTCAAAAATTTCAAATACTTATGGAAGGTATGATTAATTTTGAAAATTTATTTTTTTAAAGATCTATAACTTTGATAATTTTTCAAAATGGTGAATCATATATTTATTTATATATTTGATTTTTATCTCATTTAGATTGATATATTAAAAATTACGAATATCAAAACTAAATTATTTTAAATTCAAATGCAGATTTTAATTCAAGTATAATTATTGATTGATTCAACAACATACTAACTTTTATGTAAAAAATTTTGTGAATCAATATCAAGCGTGATCATTATATTAATATGATTTTTTATCTCAATTAGATTAAAAATTTATTTACTAATAAAATATTAATTTTTATATATTTTCAACTAAATTTAATTTTTTTTTCTCAAATCCAAATTGAATTTTAATTTATGTTATATACTCAAAAAAATCAAAAAAAAAAATTTAATTAGTTAGATATGAAACATTATACTCCTTCCATCCAAAAATATAAGGTATTTTTAATCGAATCTCACCCCAATAAAGTAATTACCTACTTTTCAACTAACCTTATTTTTTCATATTTACCCCTATTAAATACCCTATAATAATTATAAAATCATTATTAATAGGAACATTTTTAAAAAAAGATAATAATTATACCTCGAAAGACTTAAAATGTTTTATATTTTTTTAACATTTAATTCTTTAAAAAATACCTTATATTTTTTAACAGGGGGAGTATGTCCTTTAAAAACACTCTTTTAATTTATATCTTTAAAAATTAAAAATATTATACTGGAGCAACCCAAGAATCAACAACCATTCTTGATTCCTGAATCATATAATAGTAGGAAAACCACTCTAAAGCATAGAATCATAGAAAAATCATCAAATCTAATCCTACTTTTAGTTTTATATAAATATTATGATTAGATAAGATAAATAAATTGCATAATCTAAAAATAACTAAATAATAGGCACTTTTTATTATTTTTGCAAACATAAAATAATGTTTGTTTCAACTTTTTTTAAAATAAGCTTTAAAAAAATTATATCAAGTTTGTTTCAACTTATGTTTGTTTTTTATTTGGTTGAATTTTACGATATCTATTTAAACTTTAAAAAATTATCAAAATTAAAAAGAAGTAAATTTCTAATTATTTTAGTCCCCCGTTAGTTTGAAATTTTTTCTTGAAAATTGTTTACTTATTAAAACATCTATTATATGAGATTTTATTATGTTTATTTAAACTTTTAAATAATATATTTAAAGTTCAAAACCTGATATTACATGGTGTTCAACCACGAGTTCATAACAAAATTTTCAAATAAATAAATTTAAATTTAGTTGGAGGCAGATAAAATAATATATTATATTTAAAAAATATACAAATTATAACTACTCCTTTAGTGTTTATGTATAAATGAAAAAAATTTCAGTTGGAATTTAACCATAAAGTAGGATTCAAATGTAACTCCCAAAATACAAAATCACAGAAAATGTATCTTGAAACACAGAATTGCATGAAGGAAGCACATACCTAGATTAGTGTTGGAGGAAATTTTGAATATGAATTATCAATATAATAAAATTCAAATTTAAAAAATCCAAACAAAATAACCATTTAAAAACTAGAGTATGAAGATGGTGATTAATATTAATATATGTATAAATTGAATTTCGAGCCATCAATTTACCATTTTAGATACCAAAGTTTGACTCTCCATATCTTTATTTGTTGCAACCTATTACCGAAACATCTCATAAAAGATTTCTAAATAATTATGGAAATTTGATCACTTTATAAAAAAGGAACACAAGCAATAAGTTAGTTAATAATATATATAAATGAAACCGGCATTAATTTTATGCAATATTATAGTCACAAAGACTTACTTGATATCATAAAATATCAATTCAATACCATTTAATTTGTTTGATAAGTTTAGAGAAAGCATTCTTTATGAATGAAATTGTGATTTGTCACTCTCAACTGGACAAGTTGATGGCATGATCAACGTGAAACCCATATGCTAGCAATAATGCTATAGTGGAATGAAATGTTAAAATAGATATGATTGTAAACAAATGAAAGACAAAGTAAACATTAACAATGAAAATATATGAGGGCCACTGAAATATAATTATTATACACTATTTGCACAATAATCTCGTGAATGATAATTAAATTAATCAAAGCTGGAAGCATAGAATGAGCTATAGTCAAGCATATTTATTTATAATTGATATTGTATATGTGTTGGAAGGAAATTTAAATTAACAATCTAATCTAATAGCCAAATTTTAAAATTTAAACTAATCTAAATTAAAATTTGGAATTTAAATTAATCCTACTTATTTAATTTGAATTTTGAAATTTAAATTAATTCTTTTTATTTAAACAAATTGAAATCATCTAATTTAAAATTTAAAACCCATGATTTCATTTTTCAAAATTATGAGGATAGATCTAAATAATCAAACGCATATATATTTAGTAAATACAAAGATATTAATTTAAATTTGAATTTCAATATACATGTGTGTGTATTCTTGATCATATAAACCGAGATTTCTGACATATCATTAGGATGAATGAAAACTTTAAATAGATAGATACTAATTTAAATTTAAATATAATTAAATTTAAATTTTAAATAGGTTAAAGTAATTTTTATGTATATCTAAAAATTAATAGTTCATCCTACATCTAATTCCAAACGTAAATAATATATTTTATATATATTAAAAAATAATAAACTATCCCAAACATAATTCTAATCTTAACTTTAGAGCATATAATCGTAGGAAAGGCATCTCAAAGTATAGAATTTCAGTAAACCTAAAAATTTATAATCTTTAATTTTATTTTTATATATATAATGATTGGTATTAATAAAAGTTTAATATTTTACGTTTTACAAATTAATATATATTATTTGAGGGTTGAATCTGATTTGGATTTGGAGTCCAACGAACTCCTTTTTTCCGCTTTCCTTTATTTCTCAATTAAGTTTCATACATCCATATATATTATTTCTAGGATATGTTTTGTGATATAATTTGACACCAAATTTAGATCACATGAGACACAATTAATCCTACATTGTTAGAATTGAATTTTTTTTAATTTACAAATTTATTGTCGTTTCAGAATTAAATATTTCGTAATTTATAAATTTGCAACTTTTCAAAATTAAATATTTTGTAATTTATTGTTTCATTCTACCTTTTTAAAAATTAAGATTTATTTTATTCATAATCTATTTTATATTTTTAATATACTTTTCTTAAATTATAATTTTATGTTTAATATTTTTTTCAAAAATTTTAAATTACTCACAAAAATATATGTACACAAAAAAATTCATGTCCATTTTATTATTATTATACATTTCAACTGATTTTTAGATCAAATCATTTAAATAAATTTTAGTTTGTCCAACAAATTTTTGAAAAAAAAATATATGTACAAACATAAATTACGTGAAAATAACACTTTTTTTTAACCTTAATTTGCTAACTTCATTTGATTTTAATCTCGGTTGTGGATTTTTTAATCCAATCACACACAGACCATGTTGAATTTTACTTTTTTAAAATTCAATTATGATATCATTTTGTTTAAGAAATACAAAACAAAGATCAGTGGAGATTGTAAGATTATCATATTATTTTGTTTAAAATAAATTAATCAATCATCTGAATCATACCTAAAAACTTAATGGTAATAAGATTTCATTCGGTAAAATGCTGTAATATATCAGATTTCGATTTCCTCTCGTGGCACTCCGTAAGTTTAAACATCACAAGAAATCCAAATCCAAATCCTAATAGAAGGATTTTCAAGCGATAACAGATGCTGGGACAAGCAGCAAATATCATACTTTGTAGGTTGGCAATGAGAGTTCGATTTCTCTTTTACAGCAATGTCTCTCCGTTACTATATATATTTTAGATTTTTTTTTAATATACACTGATTTCTAGAAGTATTCTCAACTAGCCTAAATAAAATGGAATTGAATTCATGAGAGTGATCTTATCTACATACACTAGACTTGAACTTAACATCTCACCTAAAAAACAAGTGTCAAACTACTTGAAGTCATTACTATTAGTTATCCCCTCCAATTTTATTTATAAAATAATAAGAAAAGATTTATCAGTTAAATCATCAAATTTTTATTATATATTTTTCCGTTTACCTTCTATTAAGAGTTGGCAAGAGAAAATATGTGATTAAAATATGCGTATTTAATATGAACAGAGTTAAAAAAATTATTCAATTAAAATTTTTCTCAGTTCAAATAAAATATATTTAAAATGATTTATATATAGAATCAAAATATATTTTTTAAGTCATTACAAGTCAAATCAGCGTCAAAGCAATTAAGACACTAGTACAAGATTTAATGATCAGACTATGTTCTAACCATAATCAAACAAGCTGTAATTTTGTATATGTAATTTCTCCCATGGTATGAAAGGAGAAGCAAATTTCATTTCGCCATTTTGTAACCTACAAATGATATCTTCCGTCGTACAAAATCTCATGCACAGTTGATGACTACTCAAAACTATTCCTGCATTGCTAAGCATGTCAATGTGACCAAATGAACCTGCATACTCTTGTGGGGTTAGTACCCGTTATTTATGCTTCTTTTAGTCGCTGTACTCTGAGGATGAAGAGTTCAACCCACCATCTGAATCCAAGTTTTGCTCTGCATCGTCCCCGTTCACTCCTATATCTGAATCCCCGTTTATGAAGTCTTCAACATGAACCTGCTCATCATCCTCGTCGTCATCAATATCCTCTTCTTCCTCATCATCTATGTCAAAACCAATCCCTTCTATTAAATCGTCAGACTTCCCACTATATCCACCAACCCCATCTCCATCTTCATCATCTAAATCAAAATTAATATCTTCTATATTCCCAGACTTCCCACTAAATCCGCCCCCATCGTAGCCATTATCATTATTATCCACTAGATAATCATTATCGTCACCTGTCACATTATATTTATTTTCCTCATAATCTGATCTCCCGGAACTGCTTGCAGCATTTTCGGGAATCTCCATTTGACATCCAAAAGTTTCAGCTTCATTGCTTCCCTCCCTGACAAAAATACCGGCAGATTCCCCTTGGGGAGCATTCCTCTCAACAGTAACCTCTTGCTCTTTAGCTGCTGGTTTCTGCCTGCTGCTTCTGATGCTTTGACGAGCACGGCGATTGCCTCCACGACCTCGTGATTTACCTTTCCATCTTAGTCCCTGTCCAAGTCTCCTGCGGCTAGTGGCAGTAGCTTTTTTTTTACATTCAGATCTTGAATTTATGACCCTTCCTTGCGATCTCCCTCCATGAGTGCGATCACGGTCCTGTCCACAGTACCTTTGTCCTCGACTGTAGCTAGCAAATCCAGCACCAAGATCGACCAAGCTATGCCCAGCCAGATGAGAAGTCTCAGCTGTACAAGCACCTATGGCATTCTTGGCAGAAACATGTTTCGGAGGAAACTTCTGAAAAGCAAGAAGTTGTAAGAATAATTTTCAAACAAGAACACTCCTTTTAAAACAAGGACACAATGCCACAAACGAGTAGCCAGATTAAGAGACTTCACGTGACCAGAACAAAGTTTACATTTACATATAATTATTACTTAAGATATTAATACGATGATGATACAAAACTTTTAAAAGAAGGATATTAATAAAACCAATCATGCGGATAAAAAATTCAAGCTTTTGGTCAGTGGTTCTTGATGTGATATCAGACTTTCAATGACTAATTCCCCATCCTTTAAAATCCAAAAGGTTAGTGGTAGGTGCTCACGATAGTAAAATAGAATAAGAGAAATAAATCTATTAGGAGGGTATGAAACAAAAATCTCGTTCTATACTCCTCTTAATAGCCACGCTTAGGAGAATCTCCAAAGGGTTTGAAAGGCTGTTTCATTAATTTTGATATGCTAGCTTTTAAGTTGCTAGTCATATTTATAAACTGAATACAATAAAATATTAAATAAAATCTAGATAACAGGATAACTAAATAGATTCTCCTAAAATCCAAAATACTAAAAAATCCAAATATCTAAAATGCTGAATCAAATCTAAACAACTAAATAAAATCTAGGAAAATCTGAATAAAAACTAAATAGAGGAAAATACCAAATAAAATACTAAATAAAAGACTGAATCAAATAATCTATCTTAATTATCCTATTTTATCTTTTGATGCTTCCTTCTTGAATAAGTCTTTATGGGCACGTTATCTGGAATCTTATCATTACCCCGCCCTTGAAAACTCAACTTGTCCTCAAGTTGAAAAGAGGGGAATTGAACACACAGGAGGTCGTAGTCCTCCCAACTTGCTTCCTCCATAGGTCGCCCATGCCATTCCACCAATAGCTCCAGCGAATGATGACGTGTCCAACGATGATCTAAGACTTGATGGGGCCTCACATGTAACTCAAAATCAGCTGATAGTGGTAAAGAAGCTGGTGTAGTTGGCGCCTCCATCCCATATGCTGGGCATAAGAGAGATACATGAAAAATAGGATGAATACGAGCATCTGCAGGAAGTTCCAACTCATAGGCCACCTTTCCAATCCTTCGAATAATCTTGTAAGGACCAAAAAAGCAAGGTGATAATTTTTCAAACTTCCTCTTAGTCAGTGATTGCTGGCGAAAGGGCTGTACTCAGTAGCCACACTACATCACCCATGGCATACTCAACTTCTCTCCGACGTTTGTCAGCATAAGCCTTCATCCGATCCTGAACCTTGCGGAAATCATCCTTCAAGAGTTTGAGCATTGCACCTCTAGTTTTTAGTTGATCTTCCAATTCAACGATAGTGGTTTCACCCCTGACATAAGGACACAAGGGCAGAGGATCTCTTCCATATACTAGCTTAAAAGGAGACTGTTTGGTTTATGTATGATGACCTGTGTTATAGGAATATTCAGCCCAGCAAAGAAACTTGTGCCATGACTTAGGTTGCTCATGTGCAAAACATCGAAGATAGGCTTCAAGACAGCAGTTGACCACCTCTGTCTGACCATCAGTTTGGGGATGGTAGGCAATACTCATTTTTAATTTGGTTTGGCTTAATCTGAATAATTCTTGCCAAAAAGAGCTCATGAAGATAGGGTCCCTATTAGATACTATTGAGCGAGACACCCCATGTAACTTGACAATTTCCTCACAAAAGATGGTGGCCACTTTTTTGGCGGTATATAGATGTGCAAGAGCAAGGAAATGGGCATACTTACTTAAACGATCAACTACTACCAAGATGACCTCAAAACCTCCTGACTTAGGGAGACTAGTGATAAAATCCAATGAGATATCCTCCCAAATTTGAGAGGGTACAGGTAAGGGTTGCAAAAGTCTTGCTGGTGCCAAAGTTTGATACTTATTTTGCTGACAAGTGACACATTGCCTCACATATGTCTTTACATCGGCTTTCATAGTAGGCCAATAAAAGTTCTCTGATAGTCGCTTGAATGTTTTAAGAAAACCACCGTGTCCCCTAACTGCAGTCGAGTGGGCTTCTGCTAGTAACTTCAGTCGTAGTTGGGGTGAGTAGGGAATGACTACTTTGTGGTCATAAAAGAGTTTTTGATCAACCAAATGAAATCCAGGTCGAGACGACGGATCTTTCTGTATGTCCTGCATTATTTCCTTAGTGAAGGGATCTAATGCTAATTCAGAGGTGAGGTCATGAAGCTATGTAGCGAAAGGGACTACCAACTGAAAAAAATCTGCATGCTAGGGTCGTCGTGATAATGCATCAGCTCCCTTATTTTCTGCTCTTGCCTTGTGTATAATAGTAAAATTAAATGGTAAAAGCTTGATGATTAACCTTTGTTGGGTGTTGGTGGTGATGCGTTGTTGTAGCAAATATTGCAGACTAGCATGATCTGTTCTGACAAAAAAATGCCTCCTGAGGAGGTAATGGCGCCATTTTTGAACTGCAAGGACTAATGCCAAGAGTTCTCGATCATAAGTGGATTTGAAACGATTAGAGAATGAAAATCCTTTACTGAAGTAAGCAATGGGATGGTTGTTTTGTAGGAGTATAGCTCCAATACCTTCTGTGGACGCATCGCATTCAACTACAAATTCCTCCCCAAAGTTTGGTAACTGTAAGACCGGTGCCGTCATCAATGTAAGTTTAAGGATTAAAAGCTTGCTGAGCTAGTTCAGACCATAAGAAGGCATCTTTCTTAGTCAACTCAGTGAGTGGTCGTGCAATAATCCCAAAATTCTTCACAAAACGTCTGTAATATCCTACAAGGCCTAAAAATCCACGTAACTTCTTTACATTCTTCGGGACAAGCCATTCTCGTACTGCCTCTACTTTTCCAACCTCAACTTCAACCCCTTGGGCAGAAATGTGGTGTCCTAAAAAGGGAACTCTCGGTCGACCAATGAAGCATTTTTTTTAAATTCACAAAATACATTTTCCTGTAAAGTCTGGAATACGGTGTGTAGATGCTTTTGGTGTTGTTGAAGAGATGAACTGTAGATCAAGATGTCATCAAAAAAGACCAGCACAAATTTTCGTAAATAAGGACGAAATAAATTGTTCATGATTGCTTGAAAGGTGGCTGGTGCATTAGTTAAGCCGAAAGGCATGACTGTGAACTCATAGTGCCCGGAGTGAGTTCGAAACGCTGTTTTGTAAATATCATCAGGTGACATCCAAATTTGGTGGTATCCCGATCGTAGATCCAGTTTGGAGAAATAAGTTGCCCCGTGTAACTCATCTAATAACTCATCAATGTTGGGGATTGGGTACTTGTCTGGAACGGTGATACTATTCAATCTTCGGTAATCTACGCAGAAGTGCCATGACTCGTCTTTCTTTGCAACTAGTAAGACTAGGCTGGCAAATGGACTGGAACTGGGTCGAATAAATCCCTTTTGTAGTAACTCTTCGACTTGTTTCTCAATCTCAGTTTTTTGATATTGAGGATATCGATAGGGTCGTAAATTGGGTGGGTTGGCTCCTGGTAGTAGGGTAATGGCATGGGAGTGATTTCAGAATGGTGGCAAATTTATGGGTTCTTCAAAGACGGTAGGAAATGCGGCAAATAAAGGTTCTGGGTTGAAATATTGGGAAGGTTTAGGGTCAGCAGAAGCTTGCATTGAATTAAATTGAGCACCTTTAGCAACATTAGGAACTCCTTGTAACTTATACCTCTTGCCATTCACCTAAAAAATCATGAAGAGTTGATTCCAATTGGCTTGCACTGTATTAAGAGATGCTAGCCACTTAATATCGAGAACTAGATCAGCACCCCCTAAAGTGAAGGGGAAAAAATCTTCTTTAATTGTTAACCCTGTCAATTCTACTTCAATATTTTTGCAGACTCGGTTGCATTGCACAATACTACTATCGCCTGGACCCCAAAAGTAGAAATAGCTTGGGTAGGTAGATAAAGCTCCTGAACCAATGCATCAGAAATAAAATTATGGGTGGATCCACTATCCACAAATAATAACACCTGTCTAGAGCCTAATCTGTCACTTAATTTCATTGCTAAGCCGGAATTATTTCCCAGGATGGCATTTAGTGAAATTTCGGCTCCCTCAGGTTCTGTTTCTTCAAGTGCGACGTCATCAAGGGGAGGAAAAATCTCCTCTCCTTCCTCGGTGATCTCCATTAGAGAGAAGGAACCCCTACATCGATGCCCAGGCCGAAACTGCTCCCCACAGCGAAAGCACAGTCCTTTATCTCTCCTTCTCTGATGTTCGATCTCGCCTGGGGGAAGCTTAGAAGGATGCGTATTTGCTAGAGTGAGGGAGGCCGAGGGTGACGCAGTATGCGTCAGGGTCCTGTATGCGTTCGGGCTCATGTTCGCCGGTGAGAATCCAGTTGACCTCCTCGGTGGTTGATTCGAGTCACGTGCGGTGGCTGAGGACCCATAATAAGGTTGGGTCGGGTTTTGACCCAGATTCAGTTTGGGTCCGTTCGAAGTCATCTTCCCTTCAAATTCCAGAGCAAGGCTGAGCGCACGATATACACTCCTGGGCTTGTGAATTCGAACGTTTGATCGAAGCTCTTCCTTTAGCCCACTGAGAAACACGCCGAGAAGGCAGTGTTCAAGCCAGTTTTTCACTCTGGCGACGCGCCTTGCAAATTCCTATCCATATTCTTGTACAAGCCGTCTTGCTTGATTCTGCACAAATATTCGTCCGGCTTCTAGTATTCAAGTGGTCCGTAGTTCTCCTGCAACGCCTTCACTAACTCATCCCAATATAGTAAGGTGCGTTATGAATTTAACCAAGAGAACAAATCCAAAATATCTCCTTCTAATGACATAGATGCTATATCCACCTTTAATTCTTCTGGGGTATGATAATACTGAAAATATTTTTCAGCTTTAAGAATCCATCCCCGAGGATCACCCCCGCTGAATTTGGGAAAATCAATTTTGGGTTGAGGCAGACGTGACCCCCTCTTGTAATAATCGAATTCTTCTTCACTTTCCTCATCCCAGTTACGGCGTCTGTATCGGCTTTCTGGAGTCCTTCTACTTCTTTGTGTTGCTGATGCTTCTAAGGCTTCTATCTTTTCTTGTAATATGTCGAGTTTCTCTAATTTGGAGGAGATAAGAGCCAGATCGTGTGCAAGCAAGTTAGGATTTTCTGAGGCGATGTTGGATGGGTTATCGGTAGGGTTGGTCTCTTGACCAGCACGTGTAGTGACCATGGCTCTGATGCCAAATTGGTAGGTGCTCACGATAGTAAAATAGGATAAGAGAAATAAATCTATTAGGAGGGTATGAAACAAGAATCTCGTTCTATACTCCTCTTAATAGCCACGCTTAGGAGAATCTCCAAAGGGTTTGAAAGACTGTTTCATTAATTCTGATATGCTAGCTTCTAAGTTGCTAGTCATATTTATAAAGCTGAATACAATAAAATATTAAATAAAATCTAGATAACTGGATAACTAGATAGATTCTCCTAAAATCTAAAATACTAAAAAATCCAAATATCTAAAATGCTGAATCAAATCTAAACAACTAAATAAAATCTAGAAAAATCTGAATAAAAACTAAATAGAGGAAAATACCAAATAAAATACTAAATAAAAGACTGAATCAAATAATCTATCTTAATTATCCTATTTTATCTTTTGATGCTTCTTTCTTGAATAAGTCTTTATAGACACGTTATCTGGAATCTTATCAGTTAGCTGTACTCTGAGCATGAAGAGAGATTCAGCAAAGGTTAGCTGTTTCTGCAAGGAGCGCAAATTACGCCATATTTCAAAAAGTTGCCTCTGTTATCTCGTCTCTCTCTCTTTTCTTTGTTTTATGAATTATTTACCTGATTCTAGCATGTTTCCTTTAATATCTACACTCATCCCTGTTTTTAACTCAAGTCAAAGAAGGAAACCGACCATAATATTCTCATTTGTCTTGTCCTTTTCAGACTCCAGCTTCTGCTCTAAGGAATAAAACAGGGAGATGTCAAGTTCCATGAGCCTTAATGCCACAGCAGCAGTTGTATGAGGCACCCAGGGCAGTACAGGAATCCTTTCAGCTCCCACGGAATCACTCTGAAATCCAGAAGAAAAAATAGAACCCAACAGCTCACCGGTAGTCTTGAAGTTTGAAACCAAGTAATCCCTCTTGATAGCACTCTCCAGTATAGTCAATATCTGACAACGATACAATGTTTTAAACAAAAGCAAGCATATAAATAAATAAGGAAAAATCTTAATAAAATTCACATTCCACACATTCCATGTATCATGAGTAAATTATTTAGTAAGAAGTACATATAATGTATTTTAAAAAAAACGGACGGAAAAAGATGATAAACGAGAAATCACACATTGCAATCACCAAAAAACCTGAACATGTTTATATAGCATCCTAAGGCAAAAGATAATTTGGGTCCTTAGCGGAGAAATTATTTTTCTACAACAATTGGGCCTAACCGAGTAGTGTGAAAATCAGCTCTGTTGACTGTATTCTATCATCGTAAGGTTGTTTAGAAACAACCAAGAAGATAAAAAGAGTGAAAGGACACAGTTTAAATAACGTCTAAAATCCATCCAATAAGATTGCAACAACAAATACTTCATGTTAAGTTTATTATCACAATCCTGTTGACATCACGTGTCTACGTTCCTCATTTTTTGTATCTTCTAGATATGTTTACCCACTACAGGAAATTGAGAATCGATTGTCCCGTTGTATCTTCTAGATATGTTACCCACTGCAGAAAATGCAGCATCAATTGTCATCTGAGGGACAAGGAACATCACAGATGTGCATTGTCAAGATGATAACAAACAACAAAAGGTATTAATGCCTTGACATTCCAAATCACGCTTTATCAAATAAAGACAAACAACCACCTCAAGAAGTTCTTCAGAGGAAGATGAAGCATGCAGCTTTATACCCCAAGACTTCCGATAGTTGTCTGTCCAAATAGGTTTAAGTGCTTCTCGAGGAATGGAAACCTGCCAAACCATAGTTATAAGTTCGATTTCACCAGAAAAACAAAATGAACAGACACCTTATTTATATATTCAAAGTACAGCTGCATCAAAAGTAGTCTACAGAATATACTCAATCAAAATGATAAAGCTGGTCACCTCAACTATTGACAACAGCACTTTAAGCAATCTCAGTCTCAATGGATAAGAGGGGGACACATTAATTACATAATCATCAGTAATCTTCAATTTTCCTTCATATTGAGCCATATGTTCAGAAGAGCTTAAGTTGCTCTTACAAATACGAAGGGTTCTATAGCAGGAAGGAGATGGAATTTCTTCAGATAAATGGATCTCATGGCAGAAATCACACATGCCCAGAAATTGACTGCACCTTCTCTTCCCAGCCCTCAACGCACATAATACTGAGGAATTTATGCCTTCCTTAAGCATCCATTTTTCAAAGTCCTGGTATCTCCTCAAAGCATCTTGGTTATCAGAATCATTCCTTCCAAGCTGAACCACAAAAGATGTTGATGTCTCTGACAAATCTAAATTAGTACTGCACATGGAAGCACAGCAATCATGCTCAGCAGTCATTTGAAAAGATTTATTAACAGTGTCCCCCTCTTGCCTCCTCAAGTTATTCCTTTTAACAGATTCCTTGAAAGACCTTTCAATACGTCGCAACATCATGTGCAAATGAGATTCCCTAATCCCACGTACATCCAATGATGCCAAGAGAGCATCAAAACCCTGAGAGTAAAACGAACTCAATAAAAATTCAATACAAAACAGACTGATTAAAAAGAGACTATAAAAAATATACATTAATTGCTATATTACTCAAACAGAGGAAATGCAAATATTGACAACACTTCAATCATATAATGATCATCAAGGAAAAGCTCAGCTACAAAAGAAAAACCTCTTCAGAATCAATTAGCCTCCAACAACCATCGTGCATTTCCACAAAAATCCTACCACAGCCTGGATCATTTTGAGAAGCACATGTAATGAACTGCCAGTATCGATTACGTCTCCGATCCAAACCAAGTGGCAATGACCTATAAATATAAGTTTCTTCAGCCAATTGACCAATGCATGACTTGAAATTGGGTCTTGACATTTCAGCACCAGGTCCAAATTGTTGGCAAGAATAATTATAAGGGACAGCAGAGTCTTGCATTTTTATGTTCACTTCTGGTAGAACACTCTGAAGATGGGTCTGATTATCATTTAACTGTACTTGCTGGGTGGGGGGAGTTGGTAGTGTCTTGTCATTCCTGTCATCGACACCAAGCAAAGGGCCCTGTTTACCCTCCATGGATGACATTGAAGGAGTTGGTTCATTCTTATTGGCCACACAACGGGCAGACTGCATCTTGAAAAGGTAGTTCTCTTTGATTCGGTGTCTATCAAGCTGCACCTCTGCCCACATCTGCTTCTTTAAAGCAATTGCTGCTTCTAGACGCTCCTGAAACATTTGTCACTAGGGTAAAAAAGTTGAAACTTCTACAGACACGCTGCTGGAAAGTGATAGAAATAAACAATACCTCAAGAACAACACGGATTGAATTTCCTTCAATTGCCACACCAATCAGAGCAACAAGGGCATTAAGTCGCTCTTCAACACTAAGATCTGAGTATTCTCCTTCGATAAGCCCCTCAACCCATGGTTCACCTCGATTACTTTCATCAATACTGGCGGTGTCTTCTAAATCAGGTTTACTTGCAACATTGCCACTACCATCAGGAGTCCACAAAATTTCACCACTGCCTTCTCTATTCTTAACTACAGTGTTCAAACTGCATTCCACTAAATCAGAAGCCTCCTTGTTGTTTGTTTCAGTACCTAAATCATAAACCCCAGGATCTTCTGCCATGTCAATTTCTGAATCATCATCCCTTTCACCATCATCTGGTTCTTCTGCATCAACAAGTCCATTTTTGAATATCCTGATTCTTTCCCTGGCAGCTGAGAGGATTGCATCACCATCGGCTGGATCCTTTCTATATGCAGGACGTACACAATATGTTGAAGGAGCAGTCCTTTCAAAAAGCTTTGTGTCCCTGGACAAAGCAGCAGCTATAGAAGCCTCAGGAGTTTTGCTTGTTGTAAGATCACGAAGTCCAGATTTCTAGGAATGACAAATAGAAAAGAACTTGGTAAGTTTATTTACGCACAAAACAATGGATACAATATCCAGTAGGCACAGTTTTACCTGAATCTTGCCTGCAGTTTCCAATATGGTAAGGCCCTTACTTCCTTCAAGAGATAGGACATGAAATGCTGCAAACTTAACAGTTCCAGGTGTCAAGCGATGCCTAGATCTTCGTTGGTTAGATAATCCCTTCTCTTGCATGATAGCAACAGCATTTTCAACTGCAGCCCCACTTCGTAGATTGGAAATAACATCTTCACCGTCAATACCCTGCACTTCAACCCAGAGAAAAATGATAAACAAGAAAAAAATTATATCCAAGTCATCATATGGGGTTCACAAACATAAATAGAATGCATATCAGCACATGCTCTGCATTTCATCACTAGTTTGAAATTCTATTAACCAATAGTAATCGCTACCCTCTCTTCCAAATCCCTAATTTGAATATATACATATATATATTATGTGAGTGTATCCTGTGTTTCTCTACTTATTTTAGTGCTTTATTTTATGTATATTCTATTTACATTAAACAAAATAAATATCATGCATTGAAGACTTTATTTAAAATTTCCCATGAGATCAAACAAATGACAATCAAACTATTTTCAGAAGTTCTTATTGATCAGAGAGTGTTTACAAACTTTAAAAAACAAACAAACAAACAACAGTAATTCATAGCTAACGAGTATTAGATAAAATGACTTTTGCAAATGAAAAATAAATTATATTTCACACAAAACAATCAGTTTGTAAATTAGAACTCAAAGAAAGCAATAAAAACTTAATGGATAGTTTTGTGAATAAAAATGTCTAACTTTTCTCTTTTGTTCTTTGCTATAGTAGGACCCATTCCTGTATCATTCAGGCTAATATAGTTGCGATTAAAATTCTACACAAAAAATGAAAAGAAACGCAAAATTATAACCCAAATGTTGATGGATAGTTTTCTACATCCCCCTCAACAGAATCTTTAAAAATGAATAACTAAACCCTAGCTTTAAACGAGAACACATATTAGCTTTAAAAATGAGTAGCTAAATACTAAATTGCTAATTGAAAGAAAATTGTCGTCTTGTAAGAAAATTTGAAATAAAATGAATAACGAGAACACATGTTGCAAATTCAGAAAAAAAATAGCAACACTAAGGTACAATTGACATTACAGTAGGTAACTCTTAACTTTGATAAAAGAACTTCAACTGAAAGCATTAGTGATGAATAGAGGAAAAACAATTCACCTGATTGTTATCACAAGGGTACACCTGCTCATTGATTCTTCTACTCAATCGTGGCCCAAATCCAGCTGATAAAGCAAATTGTCGCATAATTTCTGGCCATGTCAAGGGATTTAAGAGTCGCTGCCAACTTCTTATATCAAACCCCCAAAAATATGCCTGACAATACCAAATAGGGTAATAGAAGTTGTTATTTTTTTATCAAGTAGGAAGAAGAATGCATTTGCCGAAACAAAAACGAGAAAACACACCCCTTCAACTACTTGCGGATGACCCCCACAAGGGTTGACAGCACTGTTATGATTAGCTCCTACCCCAGTAGTTCTTGCAACATCTTCAATATCTTTTATGATACATCTCAAAAGAGCAATATGAATCTCACCTAACAACCTAGGATCCTAAACCATTAAAAAAGAAGACATGCATCAATCAACACAAGGTGAAAACGCTTTAGCATACACAGGACCTTATAGAGACATTGGCCAAGGAGAATAGCCAAATATACATACATGGTCATGGAAAGCTTGTAAAAATTCATCCAAGGTGAATGGCCAAATCCCAAGAACATCAGCAAAGGAGATCAAAAACCTCCAAACCTGAAAAATAAAGAATTTCCAATATTATTGAGAAAAAATTGGAAAAGCAATGATTGTTGAAATACGTACAATGAAAAAACAATACTATGCATTAAACAATGTGATAAACCTTCGTTACTTAAGAACACACAACCAAAGCAATGTTCTATATGCAAAACAATTCTATATGGTTACAAATTCAATCCCAAGTATGATATATCTATGTGTGTATATATATATATCCGTTGATTAACAATATATTTTGCTAAACTGAAAAGACAAGTAGAAATGTAAACTAAAGTATATAATATTCTCTTTTACAATAGACTTAACCTAAAATCCAGAAAAACCAGAAACAAAGGGAATAGTCTTACCATCAAAAGGTTTCCTATGTTGTCCTCAGAATCCAACCAAGGCTGAATTGAGAAAGGTCTTTTCAGCAGTACAGCCTTAGGTGGAAATGATGTCCGCCCATCTGAAAAACAAATATCAGCCATTGCTTCCACGTACATTCATTATTTCAACCACATAAATTAAACCTAAGCAACAAGTGAAAAACAACAAATTTAAGCAAAGAATACAAGTTTAGACATGGACAATAACCTAACCAACCAATTTATTGGTCCGCCAAAAGGTAAGACCATGCAAAAGAGTATAATTATTTGTCACTGGGAATTTCATAAATTTGAAGCAAAAGTTTCAAAATTTCCCCAAATATTGTAAAAAAAAAAATGTAGTACATACTAAATTGCTGGCATCTCAAGCAATCATTTTACTCACCCTTAAATAATTCAAGATTTTCTAAAGTCTCACAGTCAAGAGACAAAATTGAAGAAAGTCCCTTTTCTGATGCAGCTAGCTCCATCAATTCCAGTCGCTCATCTTCAATAAGTTCAATTGATTCTTTGCCCATTCTGCGAGCAATAGCTCTCTCATTGGCTGCTTTGATCCTTGCTGCCTCTTTCTCTTTGCGTAATTCTTCCTTCTGTTTCCTTTTCTCAGCCTGCAAGAGCTGATAAACATAAGCATCACTTATTTTGAAATACCAGATCACTGCAAACCAGCTTAATTCCTTGCATACTCTGATTGACTCTTTCTGCAAAATCTTCTCCCTCCGTTCTAGTTCACGCCTCTGTTCTCTTTGGTATCTCTCCTCTTCCCTCCGTCTTTCACGCAATAGCCTTTCCTCTTCCTTCTGCCTTTCACGTTCATGCCTCTCCATCTCCTTCCTTGCTTGCTCTTCTCTCTAAATGTATGACAAGACAACATTATTACTCATGGAGCAAAATGTTAAAGGGAAAAAATAGAAGACTGATCCAGACCTTTCGCCTTAAAATATCCTGCTTTTCAAGCTCTTTTCTGATTCTCTTCTCTTGTGCCTCAAGCTCCCGCTGCATTCTAGCCTCTTCATTCTGGAAGTAAAAATTAAAGGCACTTGAGCTACAAGTCTATGGAGATAAATCATGCAGCAAAAGAGTCTTCAGATACCTTCCGCTTCCTTTGAAACCGTGAATTTTGCTCCTCATGGATAACCTTCTGGTCAGATGGTGTTGACATGCTGTCAATCTGAGTTGCTGGGTAAGCTCCAATATAAGAGTCAACAGGCACATCAACAAACATATTCCTCCGTGGAAGATTATCATTCTGTCCAGAAGCAGAAGGTAAAAGATGATTCTGCCTGCCTTGCTGAGACAAAAGATTTAACCCTGGCATTAGATTTTGATATCCATAACCATAGGAAGCAACTTCATTCTTATTAAGTAGACTTCGGCCACTAGAAAATAAAGTCCTTGAATGTGGAATTCCATCAAGAGAACCATAGTGGTTAGCAGAGGCGACTCTCTCATAATCATATGTCTCATTTCTAACAGTTGGCTGCTCTGGAATAAATTTATATTCATGGAGAGTCCTTGAACCGCCCTGGAAATCAAATTCATTAGCCAAGAAATACAAACACATACTCCCTCCATCAAAAAATGTAAGGCATTTTTAAACAAATCCCACTCCCCAATAGAATAGTTACTTATCTTTAAACTAACTCTATCTTTCCATATTTACCCCTATTTAATAAAGTGTTTCACCCTAAAAAAATATAAAGTAATCTATTCAATAGAGGCACTTTTGAAAAGAAAAAAGAGTAACGATTACACCTTAAAAGATTCAAAATATCTTACATTTTTTAACATCCAACTCCTTAAAAAATGCCTCATATTTTTGAATGGAGGGGTATTTGTCTCACCAAAAGTACATAACAAGAAGCAAGGAAATAACACAAAGGAAATGATAAAATTATACCAACTTCTTATTATAATAATAATGGAAAAACAAATTTTGGAGAAGTGTTTTACTAAAAATGATACTCCAAGATCGCGGTACCATGGAAGGGGAGAAGGAAGACACAACCTACTAACCTTGTCCAATCGTTCATAAATTTTTGCCTCAAAAGGCCTAGTAGATTGCCAATGCTTTCCCATTGCAGTTGGACCTGGGTTGATAAGAAATTTGAAGAGTTCAAATGCATTAGGCCTTACAACATGAGGAGGTACCAATTGAAACAGGTCAAATAGACTTCTCCAGTCCCCAACCCACTTGTAAGAGCACAGCAGTGATTATTTGCCAGTGTTTCAGTGTCAAAACACTGCAAGTGATAGCACTCTATCCTTTACAATAAAAAGGTCAAGTCACAGTCCTCTATAAAAGAAAAGGCTTTAACAGATTATAAATATCATCTTATGCAAATTAACTAGTAACAAACAGGCCAGTGGATGTAGAATAACATTTTGTTTACACAATAATCAGCTTATTTGAGATCAAAAGAAAATATCTTATTGATAGCCTATATGGATAAGCACACACCAAATAAATGCTAATAAGCAACAAATACAAAAATAAGTTCATGCATCAGGGAAATGATATAAACCAATTTGAAATAAAATATTGTTTTATATGCTGATTCATGACCTTCAACTTACAATGAGAGGAAAATTAGCCATATCTATTGTTTAAACATTACTCAACATTTTGTACAATATTACACATTATCCAACTTCATAGCACACACAATGAACCATTCTATGTCTTGCGCTACAGGGGACGAAATTGGTGTACCATTGCTTCTCGGCTAAACCAACTTCAAGCACTCAATCTCTCATTTTTTACTCAAAAGAAAATGCCCCGTGCTATAAAATGATTGGATTTTTCTTTCCTTTTTCTCAGTGAATTAAAACTTAAAAAAGAAAATAAATAGTTCTAGTTTCAAGTCATGTCAGAGCACAACTGGTGGAAGTCTACATGAATCAAAATGAAGACGCTTTGTATCAGCACAGCTCAACAATCAATCCCAGCAATTTACGAATTAGGTCAGCTATTGGTCCTTCAAATTTTCAGCTTCTTCTGCTGACAGAAATTCATCACAAGAAAGAGGTGCAAGGGTTTACATGCATAAGTAGAAAGGCCAAGAAAAAGGGATACCTAGGCAGGAGCCAAAAACACAGAAAGCCTACGCAATTGCTGATAGTAGACAGAATAATTGAGCCTTATCAGAATTCAAACACCTCACCTCTCCCACTTTGATAAGTAAGAAAAAAACGGGGGTTCTCTTTAGAATGATTAAACAGGTTCGGATTGATAACCTAATCTTTTCCCACCAAAATTCCGTTGTCAATGGATATACTGCCCAACTACGCCAGAGGCAGATGCTAGTTACTACAAATCACACTTGATAACTGAATAAAATATTAACATCTCCTCTCCTCTCCGAAGCCAAGTCTAAAAGGATGAAGATTTGTGGTAGAATTACAGAGTGAGAAATAAATGAAAGTCCCTTCCCTTGTTGAGTCATCCAAACATTCCACGTAGGTCTTATGAATGTTACTTGCAATTCTTAAATGGAGAGCATTACTAAAAAAGACTTTACCTATTGGTGCACCAAACGCACCGGGTGGCAACGGATCAAATTCCATCCCCAAAATTGGCCCGTCGTCTCTAAATGGTCCTCCTAACTGTGCTTCCACAAATGCAATAGCTTTCAGCTTAGCTTTGGACTGATGTGGTTCATAGTAACCCATTGCTAGCAATCCCCCTCCAATACTAGGAAATGCCATACCAGGTCGAGGGACAACTCGCTGTGAATCCATATGACTGAATGGCATCGACCCAGAAATGGAATCACGCGAATGCCCGCCATCACCCATTACCTTCCGCTCAAAACCATCTGCCTCCGGAGTCACCGCTACAGCTGGCGATTCATTTCCCGGCCTCTTCGCTGCCGGTGCCTTTCTGTCTTTCAACCTACGGTGACAAAACCACATTTGCAGTTGACGATCCGAAAGACCCAATTTCGCCGATAGCTCTGCTCGCAATGACTCGGATGGATTCGGTTCCGCTGAATCAAATTGCACGACCAAGACAAGACAAAACGCACTTCAGCACAATTTCACACCATATACGAGGAAAAAGAACCACAAAAATTAAAAAAAAAAAATATTGAAAGAATCACTAACTAGCATAAGTTTTCTCCAGAATCTCCAACTGGGAAGCAGTCTTCATTTTGCGCTTTGTCTTAGTCTCTCCCACAGGTGGCTTCTTCTCTTCTTCTGAACAAGCCTCCATTGCTAAGGATCGAACTCACGCTCGCACAGAAGTCCCAACTAATTAAACCCTATGGAACAATTAACCTGACATAACAAATTGCTCCTAAGGACAAAGAAAAAATCGCAGTTTCCCGAAACCACGCCAAGCGAACGCAATCGCCCAACGAATTGAGACCCCTAAGACTTTCGGAAACAACCCAGAAACCAAACAAACCCATAAAATTGCAAAAATGGAGAAGAACTGACAATCCTTTTACCCCATCCGAAACACGAAACCGTCCATCTGGGTTTGACGGGCAAGTTGGGGGTATAAATTCAGACTTTCTCTCTCTAGCATACCGGGAGCCTCTTTCTATGGGAATCGAAGAAGTTTTCCGAGGGTGTGATTGAGATGTGCGGTTAGATTTTGGGAATAACAAACAATAATAATTAATGCTACAACAGTATAGATTACGGAGAAAAAGAAGAATGCAACAATAATAAAAATAGGAAGGGCATTTTGATCTTCGATGAAAAGAGGAACTAAGAACAAACGAACGAACAGTCATGCCCTCCCCAATCGCTGCCATAGTTTTATTCGCTTTTTGCAATTTTTATGTATTAAATCATAATAGTTTCGATAAAATGTTTCAGAGAGATGAAAATATAAAAACTCATAAAGGGAAGAAAAGGAATAATAAATTCATATGTCAGTCAGCTGGCTTTTTCGTTGAAATGAGGTGAACGTAACCGAGTGATTGATTCACGAACGATGGTTAACGTAACCTGGTGGCGAGTTTCGATTTCTCTCTCTAATCCTAACTCCCTCTCCCTCTCTCTGACTTTTTCTTTTTTATGGATCTCTGTTTTCTTGGGTTTTCTTGGAAAAGGGATTTGATAAGGCGGGTTTGAGATTTTCGGTCTTGTTTGGGATTTTCCGTAGCCATTCTTTGATCTAAACCCGCCCCTTCCTTCCGACGGTTTGTGTTCGTTGTGGGACGCTTGCCGTACGATTCGGCTCAGCTCCCACACTTGTGTCCAGCCACACGCACGTTGTCGCGCGTGGAATTCACGCAAATTTGTTACCGTGGTAAAATTGATTGCTGCCGAGTTTGTTTAATATGGATTAACCTAATTGATAATGATAATACTGTAAACTATACTTATTTTCATCGATGTCACTCACTTCAACATTTTGTACGATATATTAAAGTATGACTTTATAAAGCTACCTGCAGTTACATGTGATAAAGGTACGGTGGAGTGAGGAAAAAGTAATTTTTTTTTTATTTTTACTTGAACAGAAATGGTAAATGTTTATACTAACAAAATTATATTTTTTTTTTTTAACTTAGAGTGTTGACATAATTTTACAATTCAGCAGATATAAAGTGAGGCCAAAATTGTAGTATTTCTGAGGAGGTTCGATCGTTAAAAAATAAAATAAAATCTGCCTAGATTATAAATGCTCACCATAATTAATTAATTATTAAGGTTTTATGTGTGATTACAATTAGCAGCCTTGACTGGAGGTACTGAATAATTACTTGGGGCAATATTTGATTGAGACATGCTCTCTTGACAGTTAATGAGAGTATGGAAAAGTCTAAACATGTTTTTTTCTTATTTATTATTGGATTAATTTATGAATCCACCTCTAAAATTTTTCTTAAGGTGCAATTAGTGTTTTTAAATATTTTCAAGCACAATGTTCCCCAATGTAATTAAAATGTAGCAATTTTGGCATGACCTAATGGGATTAACGACATTGACTGTGAAATTGTTTATTTTGATTGCGTTCTTGCTCTGTTGGATTTCTACAACTCCACATGTTCACCACTGATTTCTTCTTCTTCTTCTTCCAAATTTCTAGAATCCATTGATCGTGAGATTACTTTTGTTGTTGCCTCCTCAAATTTGTGTTTTCTTTCTCTTCTCAATCTCACCTCATCACCACCCCTTTCTCCCTCTCTAAAGCTCACACTTGCTTTCTTCTTCTTCTCGATCTTACCTTCAAGCTGCTTCTCTCTCCTCTATAAAGCTCTCTCTATTGTACCTCTCTCCCACGATGAACCTCGTATCGCTCGCCCCTATCTCCAAGCTTGTGTTTGTTAATTACATTCCGTGTTTGTCTTTTGTTGAAGGAGGAGAAGAATCTCCTAGCATCGTGCTCATGTTTATCGTTAACCACGCCCACGTCATCATGTAAGTTTCAAGCTATACCCTCCCTTAATTTCAATTTCTCTCAAATCAATAGAACAGATTCACAAAGCAACAAAGTTTGATTTCATGAAGCAATTTGCTCTCATCATTTTCTAATTTTATTGTTTCTAGGTTCTTGATTTATTGGGTATGTAGTGTTGTTTCTTGACTTAGGTCCTCCAAGAAAATAGATCACCATTGCTTTGTCTTTGATCGCTTTTACAAGTGTACAAAATCACAGTAACAAATTGCCCAAAGTATTCCAAGTGTCGAACCTATAGAGAAGTTGCGCTTTTACTGATTTAAATAATTAATAGTTCGAGAAAAATAGATAAAACAAATTATTTGATGAAAATATAAATAATAAAAATAAATCAAGAAAAAATAACGATGAAAACACAATCAATTGAAATGTTGGAGTTTATAATTTACCCTATAGATTACTAGTTTCTACCTTAAGTTGACTCTGATCAATTATAGTGACAAGTATTCATAAAGTGTCATAACATTCTCCTGAATTATTAGTCTATTTTTAATCAACGTTGAATTTGTTTTCATGATGCCCGAGCAATTAATTAAATCGTGAACTATAGTTTAAGTCATCACAAGTTTATAAAACTATCACTAACCTAATTATTTATGTCTATTTTTCTAAACCTATATTCTCTCTTCACCTCCCAGTTCATCAAGATTATCCATAGATTTGATTAAATAGTGGCTAGTTACTAAATCAACACAAAGAATGAGAAAAATAAATATAATTTAAAAAAGTAAAAATATTCATAAATATAAATGTAAAGAGTCAAAATAAAAAAAATAAAAAACTAGCTCTCCAATCAAGCTGGATCTCTACTCTAACTGGGTAATTTTAGAAACACATAACAAAATCAAATAACATTGTTTTAAAATCCCCAACAATGAAAAATGATCACAAAGAACATCAAGGAGTAAAAAGAAGTAATTATAGTTTGTCGAACTCCTTAACAATTTCTCTTTCAACCTTCAAAATGCTTTTATAGCTCCAAATATCTCCTCTTGTTTCTCTCAATGTGGGACTCTAATATATATTTTTTGCCTCGTGATAAGATGTATGAAAATCTGCATCTTCAACACACGCACGCACGCACACACGCATTATTTTCTTGTTTTTCATTTTCTTCCTTTGTTTAATATATTATTTTTTTGCAAGATATAAAAAAAGAAATATATGAGTAGATTTTGTATTAAAATACATTTTTATCTTATAATTAAGTGATGAAGGGAAAATATATAAATATTAATTAAATAGATATGAAATCTTAGTAAATATAATTAAATCTAAACCAAAATTTATACTCACTTAATCATAAAGTATGCACTTATCAAATTTCTCCACACTTAGCTTGTTGCAGTTGTCCTTAAACAAATATTTCTATATTTAGCCTCATTCCTTGTATAAGGATGTCAAATGCACGACCTTTGCTTAGGGCACTAACAAAACTTAACTATGTAACCAACCTACTAAGCTTCAGTGTGAGGGAGAAAGCCAATAATTCTATCAGTACCACCATATGAAGTGAATTTAGTTTTGATTGAGCACTTATTTGTATAATGAATTTATTTATACCCTCGAGCCTTATTTGTTTCTTTTTTGGAGTCAGTGTAATGTGATTACCATTCTTAACTATTCATGATTGCCTTTCTTTCTTAGATAATCCTTAAGTCCTTTTAACGTAAACTCTTATATTGGTGATACAAGAGCTCAATTACTCAAACTTGGGGAACTTTATTAGCACACTCTTGACACTTACTAAACTATTTGATGCGAAGGCCGACATTGGTGATAGAGATCTCTAATAACAAGCCCAGTTGGCATCAGCGAAGTAGATACTCTGCATTTTTTTCCTTTTTTTTCATTTGTATAGGATCATTCTTCTTTTTAACCACTTTGCAAGGTGTTAGCTTTTCAGGCATAGATATAAATAAATAGGACAGATAATTCATAGGTTAAATATATTTTTGATAAACTGTCATGGGATATTGGCAACCTTAAATTCTTTCTTAAATATATAGTTGCCACCAGTAGTTATACAACTAAATAAAACAATGCAAGAAAGCATAAATTTTAAAAAATAAGGCCAATTACAGCATGTATATCGTTAAGGAAATTATAACAACATGAGCAATAAAAAAATTATCATGATATACCCTCCCTCACACTTAAATTTCATATTGTTCTCAATGTTTGCTAAAAAAAAGATAAAAAAAAACTAAGATTCTCGTAATTTAATTTGCTTTAATGTAACTTTAATAACATTTAAGAAGCTCCATTTAAGTATTATAACCTACAATTCATCTTGGAGGGGTATTAGTGATCAAATTAAATTTTGTAGGGATAACAAATAAAAAAATAAAATAAAAATGAAAAGGAAATAAAAAATAATTAAAAAATTAGGTTGCCTCCCAGCAAGTGTTATATTTGATGTCTATAGCTAGAAAAAGTTACAAAATTAAGAGATGCCTTTTAAACGTGGTAGGAATCCTTGCCCTCCTGAATCAGAAGACACCTTCCTATCCTAATTAACATTCATCCCCCCTTAAAGAGAGTTCTTGTTAATGGGTAGGGGACATTTTAATTTGATTCAAATATATGAGTGGGATGACTTTTGTGAGAACTAGTGGGTAGATCTTTATGATGCCTTTGTAGCTCCATCCCTTCTCCGTTGCTAATTTTCTTCTCTTTATTTTATAAAGTATGCAAGGCAGTATTCTTTGGATATTTTTCCTCTTATTGTGTCACATGTATGCTGCATAAATATTTCTCAAAAATAGGGGGGTCAGTAGTTTTAGTAAATTTAAATATCTCTCTTTTCTTATTTACTTTGAATATTAATTCTCCCTTGGGCACATTAATTAAGGCACCCCTAAAAATGGTCTTTCTAATGTAAGTGAGACATTTCAATTATCCTCAATATCTAAAATAATAAAATCTGTAGGAATACAAAGTTCACCAACTTTCACTGTGACATCTCAACTACACTATATGGATATCTGAGTGATCTATCTTTGAGTTAAAGAGTCACATTGATTAGCTTGATATTTGTTATACCAAGTTTCCTACATAAATAATAAGGTATTAAATTAACACTCACACCCAAATGATATAAACAATTTTTAATAGTACTAGAATTAATATCACAATGAATAGCGAAGTTCCTTGAATATTTTAATTTGGGTGGTAGCTTTTTTGTAGAATTGAACTACACTCCTCTATAGGTATAATTATAGCATACTCTTTTAATATTTTCTTGTTTAAAACCAATTCGTTGATGTATTTGACATAAGCAAGCATCTTTGCCAATGGCTCTAAAAAGGGAATATTAATTTGAATTTTCTTGAATATTTTAAGGAATTTTTAGAAGCCTAAATCTAGATCTTTTTTTCTAATGCGTTCAGGATATGGAATGGGGGTTCTATAAGGTTTGGCTTTAAAGGGAGAATGGCCGCTTTAAGCTACACTATTAACTCTGGGTACCTTGCTACCTCATCATCTTCATCATTTTTTGTTCGCTTACCTTTGTATGTATCTTTTTAGCTCCATTATCGACCTCTTGGAGTTCTTTACCATTTTGTAAGATGACTACTAGAACTTGCTCTTATGAATTGACTTTAGTATTGCTTGGATTGACTTCTTTAATGATCTCGCTTTCAGCATTCATAAAATGTCCACAGCTCTAA